CTCACAGTTTAAGAAAAACTTACAGACCAAAAATGACTATAGATCTGGTAAAATCTGGACTGATAGTATAACATCCTATGGTGTTTCTGTTGGCATTCAAGGTAAAAATACAGTTCAAATGGCACTGGAAACTCCTTGTGTTAAATAACCTCCATACTCAGTGCAGGTAATTTATCAAGGTGTTTCTGACCTTGGGTAGGGAAAGACATAGTTGTTTCAAACAAATTAAGTTTAATATTCCTGCACAGTGTTCTGTATTCACAAACACCGGGCCCTCTATGACATACGCAGGGTAAATTCTGTGAAAGTACAAAAATCAGTCTTTGCGCATAATGGTAAATAAATACATTTACTCCAATAACAGAGTTTCTTTAAAAAATTTAATTTGTAAAAGCACATTCTTGCAGGTTTATCTAAAAGTCTCTATAGGTCTGAACAAAAAGGAGGTGCCTGAATAGTCAAAACAGGCCAAGACAGTCTTGTGTGCAAACAAGCATAACGTGTTACAGCCACTATGACAAAACATGTCTGGTTAAATATTAGTTCTCACAATTAACTCATTTTTTGTCAATTTTGATATATTCCACTCTTTAAACCACATAGAATATAAAGGAAATCTAGACTTTAACATATCCAAATTCTACTGTATATCATTGGTTTATTTAGAAAAGGCAAAGAGATGAATAAGAAAATGCTTACTGTGGCAACAAAACAAAAAGAAAATAACTCCCCCCAATTGAACTGCTTTTTAATTTTCTGGGGATAGAAACATTCATGTAGCATGTTTTCTACTTCCTGAAGTTTAAGTAAACATGTCAGAAACAAAGGTTCTTTACAGGCAGATATAGTCACAACACATTCTAAAATGGGTATTTCTACAGCTGCTCCCAAACACTGGATCTTTCAGACTGTCATTATTTGGATGAAGATGATGTTGGAAAGTACAAAACCAGCTCCATATCTACTAGGAACTCTCAGAAATGAACCACTTCAAAACTATTGAGTTTCTGAGATATTTCCTAAAGGTGCAACAAATTACAACACATCCTCCACAGATACTTTTTCCCTTGTTCCTCACTCTCAAATATAAGAAATCATTCAAAAAGGAGAAACAAAAGCCCCAGTCTTGTAATCACAGGGTAGAAATTGACTCACTGCATGGATCAATCCCACTGAAAAGCAGATGGCTCTCTGTAATAGATACAGACACTTACATGGAAAGCTGGAGAGAGAACTTCTTTTAATCTTTTCAACAGAAAAAAAAAATCATTTGTTCCAAATTGTTATAGAAGTTTCAAATAACTGACTCTTATAGAGAGATTTTGCAATGATTAACACCAAGGCAAATTAATAAAATGGTTTATATGTCGCTGTGAACAGAGGGAAAGAAGACCGACTAATACCACCAAAGGAGTTTTTTTAAGACTATCTCCATGTTTATGTGTGTGTGAGTGCACAGCACAAATATCTGCACATCTGCCTCTGGAACACATTGGGAAAGTCATAAATTAAGGCCAGTCCACCCCTAATACTGAGAATCCAGCTGTACTGGACACGTATGTGTGCTCCCTTTATGGTTTGTATATAACTGCCAGATGACCTGATTTTCCTGTCCCTGAGCACAGGATTTTAATTTGAAATAAACTGTTAGTTTCAATCACAGGAAAAGATTTTTATATTTTTAAGATACTAGCAATAAAATGAATAAACTCCAAATATTTGTCTTTTTCACACACGTCTTTCAGTAAGCCACTGTAAAAGGTTTGTTTCTTACAGACCTTGTTTCTTAAACTCCCTGTGTGATTTGCTAATTCTTGTGCAGGCTCAGTTACCCATTATTTTATCCCCTAAATCACGGGCAGCATTTTGCTTTTCTAAATGCCCTGTCTAGTTGCAGTAATGACATCATAGAATTTGACAGCATGTTCTAATGGAAGAGAACAGCTTTTTCACCAATAGACATTCTAGATGCCTCTCTGAGTGTTAACAAGTCTTCATGGTATGTGTGTAAGAGCCAACTTTGGCCTCCTTTCCAAATCCAACTTTCTGAAGTATTCATGCCAGTAATGCCCAATTTTTGCAATCCAGCTAAGCCCACTTTTAAACAGAGACAGACAAGAAGACATCAGGGCAGTGGCAGAGACACGGAAAGGTGGCATTATGGAGACACAACAGAAGTCAGAAAGAAATGTTCAGTTACACCAGCAGGCTTGGGATTAGGCCTGAAATAAAAATAAATGGGTGAAAGTGTCATCATGAAGAAAGATGTACATAAATCAGTTGGTTAGGAGAGAAACACGTGGTATGGGCACAGTTCTTACCAACATAACACAACACAAGCAGTGACCATCACAGTGTATCAGCGAACACTGAAATCCGTGACTCACTCTAAGCGCTGCCAAGCCGTGTGGCCAATTCTCCAGCAAAAAAAATCACTCTACTGTCATTCCTCAGCACATCCTACTGCCTCGTCTGCACACTGGAGTTCCTCCACATCTGTAAATGGAGCTTGTTTGCACTTTGATTGGTTCTCTGTAACTGCGTTCCTTGGATTCTGTGATGCCTTTTTCTGGGCTTAGGGTTCAAAATAGGGCAAGTATAATAAAAAGATGTTATCTTCTTATATGCAATGCAAGCACATGGAAACTTCAAGTAACTTAAAGAACCACAGGTCCCAATTTTTGCCTTCAGGAGGAGCTCTTTCTTCAGTATTGGGAGAACTGTATTTTAATGGCTTCGGTTCAGCGTTTTCTTTGCTAAGCTTCCATGCACGTCTTTGCAGCCTTGTCCTCTGACTGGTGACAGACACACAAGGTAGGAAACAGCACACAGGGAAAAACATGCACTGTTACAGGGCAGGGTGACAGTAAGCATGTAAGAGTTGCACTGCTTAGTGATAAACCCGTCCGTAATAAACCCGTTGTGTGTGTTTTTCTGATATGGTGGCTGCTTGCATGAATGCTAAGAGGGGCTGTCATCCTCCAGATCCAGGCAGATATAAATGAAGAAGAGAAAGAGAAAGGAAGATTATTTTCTGAGAAACAAGCATACCTCTGCTGGGCACTGTAAAAATAAACCTAGCTACACTGGCATCATTTACGCCAGGTTCCTAAGCATCAAGCTCTGCTACAGTGGTAAAGCAGCTGCTTTCAGCATACAGCCCCCAGACCCCGACATCCACAAAAACCCAAGAAGAAAGCTTAAATTCACCATACAGGTGGCAACAAATCAGGGAGTGCTGAAAACTACTGCAGTAGGAAAAGAGGACTACAGAAACGTGGCCTAAAGGGTGAAGGTGCCGAGCTTGGCAGGTGCAATTCAAGGAGCCCACTGTTAGAGCCCACTGAGAGAACAGAAGGGTGAATCCCTTTACATATGTTCTCCAATATCTTGGTCAGAAACCTGTTCAGCGCTTTAAAATTCACCAATGACCTTGGAGTGCACTATGTGATGAATACCCGGGTGGAGGATTACACAACCGGAATTGAAGGCCACCCTACTTCAAAATGGGAACATATACACAGGGATTTAACACACTTTAATTCACAGACATTGACTTTATAGAGGTTTTACTGACTTAGTGTTCTGGAGTGTCCCCATATGGAAAAACCTGTACATGTTTGAAATAATGAGAGAAAGTTCTAGATTGGGGGCAGGGAGGGGTAGGGAGGAATCAGGGGGCTGAAAACAAAACAAGGAAATTGCGGTAACACGGATTACTAAGAAGCTGAAAAGCATCTACCACCTTCAAAAAAGTATTTGAAGAGATACCAAATAGGAATTCATCCTCATGGACTTGTGCAATGTAGCCCCAAAGACACAACAACCAGTGCTTTTAAAAACAGGGTTTAGGATGGTTCCTTTTTAAAGAAAAGGAAACCAACAAAAAATGGTGTCACTGAATTCAGTAACTCTTGAGAGTTTATCATAGTTAAAGACCCATATTCCACAATCAGCTTTTTGAGATGACACTGCTACAAATCTTTTAAGACTACACATCACTGCTGCAGCCTTACTTTAAACCAGGAGTTAGAATTAACAGAACACAGAATTTCTACCTTTTTAGCCTATGTTATAAAACACTGAATCTACAAATAAATACAGTTAGAAAGTAAAGAGAGCCCCATTGTTGGATTTTTTCTTATACTTAGGAAAACTCAGTGGACTTTAGTTTTTTCCAGAGCAACTTCTCAGTTCCTGACACTTGCACATCACCCTTGTGTTTGCTCTGCGCCATCTTCATAAATTAATTTGCATGAAACTTGATCACAGTGCAACTTCAATTGCCTGATGAGAACTCTGTATTTACATGGTTTGGTTTTTCAGTATTCCAAACTGAAGTGAGGCGATTTAGTCCTCAGGACAAAGTTCAGAATGGATACCCTCCATCTACTAGTGGTGACCCACAGCAATAGCTGGAACACAGATTTAGGGACTGAGAACTTACTTCTAGTGCTGGCTCAAAAAATAATGCTTTCTTTTTTTGCTTGCCTTTATAAACTGTAGATCACAGCTTTGCTGCCATTAAAAGGATAATAATACTCACCTGCTGCTCCCAGACTTATGTGAGGCTTTACTAGTGCCTTTCCACAGTGCTGTTTTTTAGTTTGGGTATGTTTGTTAAGGGTCATATTTATTAACCTAATCACAGATTGGCCCCAAAATGGAAGATACTGCAACAAGCATAAAAGTATCAACAGAAAGGACCCCAAAAAGGAACACTGTGCCATTTTGGTGAGAGAGGGCTGTATCTTTGGACCAGGCTCTCACACTGTGTCCCAGATGTGGTGTGCAACAGGCTATCATAGGATGTTTCATGGCACACACTACTCTGCCAGTAATGGAATTCCTGGTTGGCAAAAATAAGACCTCTATCAATCCAGGCACATAGCACTAAGTGTCAGTGACTTTGCCTACAAATCCTGGGGGTTTTTCCTTGGATGAAAAGTTTATATTTTTAGTATCAAACACCAAATCTCCACATGTAAACCTCCACAGCAGAAAATGAGGCAGAGACTTTATTAGAAAACACTGCTCTACTTGTGTTTAGCACTGGAAGTACTTCCCTCAGAAATAAACCTAGAGGTGCACGAAACAGCAGAATCATAAGGCAAAACCCAAGGAAAGCATATTATAGTAGCTATGTTATGTTTTTTTCCAGCAGGACTATCAAGCGCTGCTCATACAAAAACTGAGGAAAGGCCTGGAAAACGCAGCTGCCTCTCAACTAAATCAACTTGGTACACCTATAACTACTTCAAAGACTATTTTATTTGAGCTTAAACCACATCTTTGAAAACATTTTTAAAATAGCTAAAAAATGCTGTAATGTTTAAAGACACATCAGGATCAATACAATTCTACATCTAGCCAGCAAGGACAGGAGATTCTCCCTAGGGAAGAGAACAGGATGGTAATAACTGGGTTATCTTCAGCTGTCTCAGTCTGGAATGAAGACCTCCTGTTAAAAGGTGCCAGAGCTCACAAACTTGTTTGAACACTGAACTTAATAGTATGTTAAAGGTTGGACTTGATGATCTGGAGGTCTTTCCAAGCTTAATGATCCTATGAGCAGTGCCCAAAGCCCACTGCCACACAACATACTCTGGTTTTGTGTACTGATGTGATTTTCTGCACTGGCAAAAATAAGTGGTCTTATGATACAGTTTTCCAACACATCAAGACTAAATGTTGTTAAGGTTACACTTAACTAGACAGTAGGCGTAGCCTTAAGAAAAAATTTTAAAATTCAAAGGGAATGAAAAAATATTCCTGCTGTTATTTGGTGAGTCAACACAGGAAAGGTATGTGATTTCTTACGTGTCCAAGAGTGCCTAAAAGAATGAGGAAGGGCACTCTTGTTAGGACTTCAGAAATCCCATCACTTACTGTGTCCTCATCACACTGACAGATTCCTGCAGTCAAAGTCTGGCAGTCTGCATAGGCCAAGCTCTGTTTGGCTTGCACAGATGGAGCTGCAGGGTCAGAAGCTAACATCGTAAATGAGAGCTCAAACTTCAAAACAAGCTTAAGGAAAGAAAATTTTCAACAAATAATCTCTTTGAAATTTCACGCAACCTGTAAGCATTAAAATCAGCTAGATTTTAATGTTGAAAGTTATTAAAATGTTTATAAGTTGAATTCTGGTACTTTGAGAGAGTTCACTTTATATCACACTTCTAATGGCATTGTGCCAACTGGGATAGACTCAGTAGGAAGCCACAGATACAGGGTGAAATGTGAGAAACATTGCATTGTAAACATCCCATTTCAGCATAAAAGTAGTCATAAATCATGAGAGTCATTGTTTTTAAATCAGATGTGCGTGACAGAGTCAAAGTTTGCAGTAAAAACAGTTTTGAACAACTGAGTCGCATCCAAGTGAAAAAAACAAACAAAGTACAAAAATGCAATTTGCAGCACAATCACCAAGTGTCTTGGTTTGCTACATAAAAGCATAAATAGGTGGTTGCATTAACTGAACCTCTGCATCATGTTCAGGAATAAAAGTTTTGAAACAACTGGTGCTGCAAAGTAAAACACAACAAACAACACATCACTGTGAGGAGGAAAAGTGTATCAGATGGTTTGTCCTACTGTTTTTTCTGCACTTCTAGTAACCAAAAATGACACAAGGTAGAAAAACTGAAGCCTCACTGAGATCATTGACAAGATTTCCATAGAACTGAAGAGCATCCTGATTTTATCCTAGCAGATTGGTTAGCTATTCGGTTTCTACACAGGTGGCAGAAAACTTCATATTTTTACTGAGGTTCCTTCAGTGAGAATTAAATAATGTTCAGAGCATGGCAACACCACTTGTCATCCACCAGCCTCAAAATATTCCTGAGAAACCTCTCAGAAGATAAGAGACAGACATAGGCAAGCTGAAAATTTGTATTTCCATTCAACTTGTTGGAATGGAGGCACAAATAGGTTCCAAGATTTGCACAAAGTCAGACAGTCAGTTGGGATTACCAGCCAGGTGATCTGATCCCCAGGCCTATGTTGTATCAGCTGTTGGATAACCTGAAAGACTAGGCTGATTTTAACACAGATTTGGACTCTTCAGGACTTTTTCCGCACCCAAGCAGTACCCAAGCACCAAAACAGATGCATGAGTATTCTCTGGTACTTGCTAGGTTCTGACTCTCAAGTAGGACTTCGTTCCAGTTCATGAGCTTAACAAGCTTTTGCCAGAGTAATTTTCAAACTGCCATTGCAGATTTAAATAAAACCATGATAAGCTTCCAGTGTTATTGTGTAATCCAATTATAATGTGAATAGGAAAGGGTTTTTTTCTCAAAAATGTAAGCATAATTTTCCTGAATGGCATCCTCTTCCTAAAGCCATCGAGCAAACCAGAGTACTGGTTCCATTAAACAGTTTCAAGAAAGCCAGTTAATTCAAGTCTTCTCACCAGTGAAGGTATAGATAAACATACCCTTACTGAAAAAGGGGAATCTATAATTTCTAGGCAGTTAAATAAAATACAACATACAAAACAAGTTTTAATGCATTTTCATCCAATATACAGGCATTTGTGAGTATCAGCTACTGAGCTATAGTTCATAGCAAAATACCAAAGCATTGAGAGAGTTGTGCAAATTCTTTTCTTAGTTCCTTGGTGAGCAACAAAAAGAACTGAAAAGTGTCTACCTAATTAATTTCAAACACTTACAGAGCAGAACCCTGGAAGGTACTTCTCATACATGAGGGGCAAGAGAAACCTGTTTTCATTAAGTAACACATACATGAGAAGCTTGCATCTACAGCTAAATTAATTCTATTGCAAGATTTATGTGTATAAAACTATTTTATTCTAGTAATCGAAATTAGGCCTTTTGAGAAATCTGAGTTATCAGGCCATTAATTCTAATAAAGGTGACTGCTGTGCTGTCCTTAATTGCCAAGCAAAGTTATTTACTGGTGAGCACATGCTTCTCTAAAAGTAGGAAAAGTCTTGCAAATAATATTTTGGGAGAGTGATGGGATAGCATGGGGCAGATAGTTAAGATGCCATAGGATCAAACCCAAAATCTTTCCTCTGATACCTGCCACACATTAGGAGAAACTTTCTCTGCCAGGAACACCAGGCAAACCCCTGTTCTGTCCTATTAAAATAAACAAAGACGAAATATTCCAATACTGGTCTAGACTCATCATTCCTTCAGGGCAAGAACTCGTTTCCCAGTTCTTGTTGCATCCTATGTGAAATCACTAATAAATTAACAAATTATTAATAAAATTTGCAAAAACGTAAGATACAAGAACTGGGAGTGACTTTCCATACTAAGGACTGGATTGAGTTCCTTCCTTTTTAATGGGAAGCTCTCGGGTAGGGGTAAGATTTTTATAGCAGAAAAGTAGGTCTAACACTCAATGCTTTTAGGGATTCAGTGGTGTCTCTGCTTGTTTAAAATCCCTCCTTTGTTCATCATAAGGGAGCAAAACCTCAAAGTTTGAATTGATGGAATTGGTTCACCATGACTGATAAAACTCAGTGGTGTCATTTGACTCCACAATAATGTTTTTCGATTGTGCAGCCACCAGATTTTATTACAGAGCCCTTTTCACTACAGCTCCTTCAGTTGTAGTACCTCATGAGGACAGCCAGCTGGGAACTCCAGCACTATTGTAAGGCAACTTGAATAGCCAGAGATTTGCCCAGTAATTATTACAAAACCGTTCTCACAGATTTCTTAGCATCAGAGTCTGTAACAATAGCCTATGACATTACTATTTTATGTGCCATATATTATCCTACAAAACGAGCAGAGTGATGTCTAGATTCTAAAAAACAAACTCTATTATAGGCAACCAACACACTTCAGCTCACAAAATCACTTTCAACCTTTTGAAAAAAGGAAAAATAAGGCAGCACTACAAAGGGAATCTAACAGCCTGCCTCCGGGTTTGTGGACAGCTCTGCTCATTGATTTGCAACCAATGGTTTGGAAACTTCAGTTACTGAATGTTTACTGAGAAAAATTCTGATTATATTTTAGGCAAGCTTTTTTATCTGCTACCTTTTAATGTGTTAATTTACTCTACTGAAAAGCCAAAGGGCCAAATTCATCCCTCTGATAAGGCTTCCATTGTAGGAGCATCACTGAATGAGCACCAAAGGCATTATTCATCTGTGGAGAGATCACTGAATAATATTGTCAAACACTTTTGAGTTGCACATCCTTAAAGAACAGATAAAAGAATTGTGAAGAGAATGAGAAGGAACAGAACATCAGAGATGAAGAAAATTAGATAAAGGGCCAGGAAGAAACTGTTTGATGTAAACAGAGTGACAAGTTAGATTAAGAACTCTCATTAAAGCATGCAGTATTTGCCTGTAAGCAATTCAGGCAAGGAATTTGTTTACAGCTCTGCCAAAATCAACAGCAGATGCAAAAAATCATCAATATTGGGATTTTAAATAATATTAAATCTACTGTATCCAAACACTCACCAGGACTATGTGAAGGAAATACACAGCTCAGGGCCATTATATTCTTTGTCACACTGAGTAAACAAGGTTATGCCCTGTTGCACATTGACATGCAGGGCCAGCACAAGTTATTAATATGAGTGTGCCACTTGGTTACTTTAGTATGCATGTATCTCTGAAAATACTTACTGGTACCAAGATTTTATTACTCGTGTGGGAGAAAATCTAACTTTTTGAGAACAGTGTAATTTCAGGTATGACTCTGTGCTAAGGCTTTACCATGTTAGGAGAACAAAATTTAGAGATGTGCTGGAAAGCTTGTGATATCACCTTGCCTTGACATGCAGTAGAGACGTTCACCAGAAAATGCCCATCAGAAATAATAGATTTTAAATTAGAAGCACCTGCTTCCAGAGCAGATGGTGAAGGTCAGGTGAATCAAAAGAACCCAGTACCTTGCTCAACAACAGTGAGGAATCAGGCTTTTGGCAAAGGCCACTAAGAACAAATCCTATTCTAACTGAATCAGATTTAATGAGAGCTCCTCATTCCTTAGTCCCAGGTTAACATCCCCCCCTAGTGACCTCAATTTGTGGTGGGGAGTTTTTTCCTCAGCCGCTCGTTGGCTGATGGCCCCGTACAATTCTGCTAAGATGATGGGAATTTGAGTCACCACTTTCCTCCTGGCATGGTTACAGGTTGAAAAAAATACCTGGCTGGGAAGAACATGCAGTGAGAGTGAAGTTACACAATGTGCTGGCAGCAAAACTGTCCCAAGAAGCTGAACCCGCTGCCTTTCCCCAGCCCCTCATTCTCACCCTTGTGCAGGAGTTCACTGCACATGAGCTTCCTTTCATGCCAATTCCCAGTGGGGTCATGATGTGAGTCACACCATTGTTATGATCTGCATTAAAAATAACCCTTCCTAAACCAACTCCACTACAAAAGCCAGCAGATTGTGTATTTGCACTGTAAGACACTTAGTTCCTTTGACACAGTGCTGTGCACAGAGAGAAGCACAAAACTGTGTCAGGTGCCACTTTCTCAGGCTTTAAAGAAAGCGTATGACTGGCAAGGCACAGAATTAAAGCCATGCAGATTCAACCATTCCCGTGCTGCAGAGTTCTTGAAATCCATATCAAACCTAAATGCCAGCAGTGGGAATTCCTGACTGGTTCTGCAGTAGTCTAAACAAAAAATTCTGGGTGTCACTGGAGCTAGTTTTTAAAGACTGATATGAGGTAAGCAAAGGCCTAAGGGCCTTCTCTGTTAAATTTAAAGTGAGATGACAGATGGGGATGTGAAATGGTGGGAAACCACCAGCTACAGAGAAAAACATCCAAGTGCAAAGCCTAAGGATCACACTGCAGCTCATGACTCAACACTTTGGTCATTCATTGAGGGAACTGACTGCTCATTTCTCTCAAACAAAAGCTGTCTTTTCATTTTATACCATTGCATGGAAATGCTTCTTGCAAAAAGATTTGGAAAAAAAAAGGTAGAACTTCCTGTTAACTCAATATTTGACAGGCTGAGTCCTTCGACAAAACACCAGCAAAGCCAGCAGACTCTTCTCCATACATTGTTTAAAAGACTAGAAAAAATGCTAGCAATTTCTTATTTTCATCTCTTCCATGAAATTTCCTTGTCTGTAAACTGGGAAGGAGACCTGAAGGTGAAGGTGAAAAAGAGAGTATATCTCTTTTATTAGTTGAAATTATAGAGTCTAAATGGCACAACCTTAAGGACAGCCTTGTGGCCTTTCCCTTACAGTCAGAAAGGAACTGGTAACTATGAGACAATGATTTGATCTCCTTTTTGCATTACATAATCTTTGGTTGTGCAATGCAAGAGTCAATAAGGAGTAAAAAGGAGGACCTAAATACACACAGTATAAAACACTACAACTTCTTCACTTGACTCACATTTCAATACCCTTCTGATGAACTACATATAAATTCTATTACTTTGTATGCCATTGTGGATAACATTGTACAGAACAATGGCAGAAAGACCATTATTTTTAAAGGTGTTTTACAAGGTGCTTTCAGTTGCAGCTCTAGGCTTTTGAGATGTCCGGGAGAGAAGATAATGGAATGCTTTTTTCTTTGCTTGTGTTTTGAAATGGTATTTTTTTTATATATTTCCAGATAAATCAGAAAAAAGGAAACAAAAATTCCACACAATTTTAAGGTATTCTGTGTCCTGCCAGTGTCTCATTTGTATGCAGTATACACTAGATTTGCCTAGAAGGATTTAGCTCAGTAGCTGGCACATTTACATCAGAGAACAACATACACAGTTTCAATCGATTTCAAGCATTCTTACAATGGGAAATAAATATGAGAAGTGGTTGTTGCTCAAAGTTCAAAAATGCAATCAACAAATTGTAAAAGCTCAAAAGGCCAGACAAATTTAATAAAATATTTCCATTTACCTTCCTCAGCTTTACACAGCCTGTTCAAAATAATAAGATTCGCTGCAGAGAGCCTTTATCCAACTGTTTATATCACTTCATACAAATATGTGTTTGAATTACCAGAGCAATACAAGGATATAAATTCCCAGCACACAAAATGCCAAATTCAACATAAGTTATGCTTTCTTGGCATCTAGATGTTTCCCTTTCCCTTTTCTGTACTCCAAGTACATTTTCATTTGAAACAAATTAAAAAGCATGTAGATGTTAAAACATAACAACAGCTTAGAATTCAAGTGACTTGTGCAACATTGTTTTGTGCTTTCTACTTCTCCATTTCCTCCTACTGCAATTAAAATTCATCATGCCCTACTACATGTACAATAGCAATGCATCAAGTTCAGTCCAGTATAGGTTTTCAACCTTCACACTTGGCTTTATACTACACGAGATCCTTGCACAATCAAAAAAAATAAAAGTGGATCTTTTTTTCTGATCTTTCTTTTAACGCTGGATGATGTGAAGCTCTGATTAGTCGATGTAGGAATGCAACCTTGAGGTATGATTGCAGCCTCAGAATAATTCTTACATGTAAAAAGGAACTTTTCGAGCATTCACGCCCTTTCTGGATTTAAAAAAGACACCACTGTAATGGTGCTACTGGAGCCACGGTACAGTACATCATGGCACATATCCATAACATAACCAGGGACATGAGATAGAACTTCTATTTACAAAACCTTGATGTCACTTCCAGAAAAATATGACAGGGAAAAAAAAAGCAAAACAAAAAAAAAAAGGAAAATATAATTTCCTGAATGTCCTGAATTTTTAGAAGATTCCTTTTACTTTCTCTTCAGCAACAGAGTAGTCCTCCACAACTGCATTTTCCCTGACCTTTTTGTTATGGACCATAAGTGACACCAGCAGGAATTGGGAATCATATGGCAAACTGCTTCCTTTGAGAGGATGCTCACCCACGCCCCTTTACTCACAAGCCAGCTTGCTGTCAAAACTGGAAAGGGCGATTGCAAAGGCTTGTAGTGCACACATTGGGTAGTTGTAGTCCATGGTGAACACATCCTCAGCCACGCGGCCAAACTGCATCACTATATAGTCAGCTGCAAGAGAGGTCATAAAAGGTGACAGCATTATTTTTGTTTGCAGTCCACGCTAAAGAAGTATGCATTCAACATCACCCTCTGGCCCAGTTCAACAGAACACAAGCAAAACATGCTCACTCATGAAACTTCACCAACACTTATTCATGCAAGTGGGTGTGCTGATAGCAGAGGGAGAAGCAAGGATAGCTGGAGCAATGGAGGGTTGCAAGACTTGTTACTGTCAAAAGAATGGCACAGATAAAAAGTATTTTTTGCAAGCACAGAGAGGAAATGGCTTCTTTATAGAATGTTCAAGCCTCTTTTACAGATCCAGTACCAAATTTCACATGCACCAAGAACTAGTTAATTCTATTCTCACTTAACTTCAGGTAAGTGGACAAGCAAGAATAATGGTGGAAGAAAAGGTATAAGTATGACCTAGACCTAATCATACCTCTGCTACAGCATGTTCAGAGATTCTTCCCAATTTCTGGGATGCAGCAAATGCACACATCAATGTTTCAGATTCAGAGTTGCTCTCAGAGGCTAGTGCAGCCACTTTCACCAGTTTCCCTGCAGTCTGCATGGCACTGGTCTAGCCTGGTGGGCTCCAGCACTAGCCACTGTGCCTGCCTAAAGTGGGCACGAAGTGGGGCCGTGCTGCTCCACTCGAGCACTTGCCTTTATCCCAGCTCCAACAACTGTACCCAAGCTTGAGAGAAAAAGGGAACTGCACATTGATGGCAGAAAGCAGCCCACCAATAAGGACCTGGGGATAGCGTGAAAGGTTGTTCTGACATTAGCAATGTTCTGTAGGGCTAATGCCACAATGACTAGTAATTGCAAGGTGGATGTGCAATGGGACTGGTCTGACTGCTGCTGTCTCCAGCTGGGCATTGTACAGGGACCAGAGCAAACCAAAAAACCAAGGAAGGATTATGTGATACACGTTTGAGCAGAGTGACCCTGCCCCATGGTCCTGCTGACTGCAGAAGCGCAAGGCAGCTGGTCTGAGAGCAGAAATGACTTTAAACTGTTGCTCAGTTCATAAGCTGGGCAACCACAGGAGACAACTCAGACAGCACACAGCTATTCCCTGTTGCAAGCATGAGCATTTAAACACCTAACTTGCATCAATGCCACAGCCACGAGGCAGAGCAACATTAAGGTGGACCCACAGAACTCAATGCAACCTGCTCAGATAACAACTGTAAGTGCAGAAGCCCTCCCAGGCTGTGCATGCAGTACTCTTCCTACACATCCCTGGCTGAGAGCTGTACTTACGATCATTGTCATGAATAATTTGGAAGTTTTTCACCGAGGCCAGTGTGACTCGACCATGGAAATTTAAAACATAGGACTGGGTGTCATCATTCCAGACTGGCGTTTTGTTATGCAGCTCAATGACACTCTCTGTGTTTTTGTTCTGCCATCTTGCAAGAAGCGTCTCATGTTCCTGCACACATCACACATACACACTTCGCTTTAGCATAGTCACATGACAGAAAATACATTCAAAAAGAAGAGCAATATTCATAAATCCTAGCCCCAAAACTGAACTGTTACCCTCAATCCTTAAAACGGCTTCAACGACCGAAACAGAGAACTCTGAGGATCATAATGTGAATGTGCATTTGAGTCCTTTCCACCATTTGGAAAATGTTAGTTGTAACTTTTGGTACCAAAATACATTATTTGTAGTGCTTTTGTGAGTCACAGGACTAGTTACACATCCTATTGTTATACAGTTGTTCAAATACCATTTGATTAACCTCTACACCTTCAGAAATGCAATTATAAAACCCCGACTCTAACTGAAAGAGAATTCAAGTAATTTTTAGTGTTGGCTGTTGGTATGACTTACATTTCGTGGCCTGATGGAAACTCTTTCATGGTCCATATTCATTCCTGGTATGATCACACTCATTTTACGAGGTCCTTTAAACCCCAAGACATTTGTTTCCTAAAAATGTTTAGAAAAGATTTCATCATGTTCTTTATTTTTAAAGTTAATTTCTTCAACAGAGAGACACAGTGGCAGCCATGGGAACTTATTTGTTAGTCAACTAGAAAAACATCTTGAAAATCCCACCTTCACTGGCACTGCCAAACATTCTAGCTTTGTCTTAGAAGCTCCAACAACAGGAAAAATGGAAATAGAGAGGTTTCCAAAAACATTCCTAGCATTGGCTGCCAGTACCTTAATATAATTCAAAAACAAAAATCCCTTTGTTAAAAAAGGATATGAATTAACCAGATTGCTTGGCTACTGCTAGATCCCAAAATAAAGTAGTTGCAATTCAAAAATCATAAAATGCAGTCACACATTTTGATGCGAGACAAAATTAAATATATGGGACCAGCTCCATTTATTCCAAAGCCAGCACAAAAGCAAACAAGAAGAAGCTGCCAGTAAGAGCATCTGTTAGCAGTGCTGTGGTTTTCAAAGTCTTCAGATATGTTATGCTTAGAGATGAACATGGTAAAAAACAAACACATTAGCATGAAGGCAAATTTTCTAGCCATGAAGGCAGGGAAAGTAAAGGAATCACACAGGCAGCAAAAGTAAATCATGGAAAATACAAGTTCTTCCATTAAACATGACCTGATGCTTTTGACCATATTTTTATAAAAGCTCTCCAGTAAAAACTCTCCAGTAAAAGCTCTCCAGTAGAGGACAGCTCTTACTGTCCTCTCAAAACACAACCATTAAAATCTAAACCAGCCTAGAGTCTTATTTTTATCTGACACTTCTTTTTTTTTTTCCCCCAGAAGCATCTAGGGTCAAATATTTCACTAAGTCATCATAGGCTTTTGAAAAAGTAAAGGGCAGTATTTCCCAATCCACTCAGCAAAAGCTGATTTTAGTATTGACTTCAGTAAATGAAACAGTGAAACCTCTGAAAGTCCATATCCTCAAGTTTCACGATAATTTTTTTTTTCCAGTCACATGGATATTTTTTCCCTCTACCATTCTGAAATGAAGGGCTGTGGACATACACTAAGGAATTTCAGGAAGGACATTCCCATTGGTGTTATTCCCAGCAACGTACCACAAGATGCCAAGAACAGACAGCTCTGGCCTCCAGCTGGTCAGGCTTTACCACTGGGACATTTAGAAATTACATATTCAGATGTCTCTGCTTTTATACTTTTATTTAAAGTGTCCTGATTTTAAGGAATACTAAGTTTTTAAAAACATTTCCACTTTTGCAAGTAAAAATCCAAGCATCTCAACTCACCAGAAACATCTGAAAAAGACACCTAAAAATTACTTGTGCAGTTCTGCCATGCATCAGACCTCTGAAATGACTTTGGTTGTTTCAGCAAACCATCGAGATTTTTCACAACTCTTTAAAGTTTTTCATGCGTGCAATAAAAATTCCACTGAGTTATTTTACTGAATACTCCTGAAGCAATCCTGATACATTCCTATGTCTTCCTAACTCTGTACATTAATGAGAAGATTCTGCCTCTTTTCTGAATCATTGATGTAACATCCTTTGGCAGAGTAAATCATGTTATCAGTTCGGTTGGAAGCGTATCCCTGGTTCTGCATCGTGGTGAGACGAAAACTAATATGACTGCCAGTAAGAGAGACTCAGCACAGCAGAGGACAAGTTCTAAGAAAAGATTCATGCTTATGCTTATTTTCCACTAACTACCGGCAATTTTGGCCTTCTCTGCAATGCCTTACAAGCTTTTCTTCTCATCAGGCAGCAGTTATGCTATACATAATTAATTTAGATGCTGACAGGTTGAAGACATTGTTCAAGGTAAAATTAAATAATAGTGCTGAATCACTTCCCTCCCAACAAGCAGTATGATCACTCTGAAAAAACAGGGCCATACTCTTTGGATTTACTCAGAAACACTAAAATTGGAACTTCTGCCACATGATAAGAGAAAGGTCACTAGCAGCACATTACAACCATCACCAATTATCATACATTATGTTGCAAATGCTGCCCTTTTGCTAAAATCATGGTACCCACCTGGAATTACATGAACATGGAATATATGAGGAGAGTGATCAGGACAAAAAGAGGAGCTTTAATTAAAAGTAGATCTTTCCAATCCACCTGCATCCAAACAAAATTAATTTCCCCTACCTCCTGTCTCGTTCCCTGCTTCTCTTTTATTTCCCTCCTCCATGATTTTGTGTGTGTGAATTCCAGACTACAAGCAGCATTACTGGGGAAACAGAGGCCAAATTCTGGTTTTACCCTTTTTTAATGCCACTGGCAGTCTTAGTTTAAACAGGAACACAAGTGTTGTCAGCTCAACCAGGACACCAATCATTGATAACAGCTAAGCACTTGGCCCAGTATTGCTCAGAAGCTGCACTCTCTGCCTTAACCTATCCAAGTCAGCTGTTCTGTCAGCATGTGTCACAGTAAACTGGATTGAAAGAACACAGAGCCTCTCCACAGGGTTGCTTTTAAAACCTTACATACTTTCAAAAAATTATGTAAGCATCTTGCTTTAGTGGCAATAGCGGCCACAATAAAAGGAGCAGGTTGTATATCCCAGCAGCTCCCAGGACATTCACAGTTTTGTTACCCCAATTTTCTTTCAGTCACTTCCCTTTCTGGACTTGTTTCACACATCTGTGCTTAGTATCTTCAGTAGAAACTATAGAAAAGCTATAGAAAGCCCAGATCACAGAACCTACAACACTGGAGCACAATGCAAGGGACTGAGGCCTGAGTAGAGACATGGGGTCTTGCTGCTTTACTGAAGCCTGAGTCACACCTCAGAATGTCAGCTGAGCTCCCTGACTGCGGAATCTGACACAAACTGAACTATGAGGTACTATGGATATAAAGGAATCCAGCACAGAAAATCCTGGTACAAATGGTACAGTTACACCTCACTGCTCCTTGATAAATTTTGCCGAGCGATTCTGCAACCAGCCATTAGGTGCTGCTGCAGGTTTATTAATATGCTGGACTGCCAGCAGTGGGGGAGTCAAAATGGTTAACAGCACCTGAGAAAAGTGTCCTTGCTCTCTGTTCCCGATCCTTGAAACATGCCCTGAGGTGAGCTCCACAAAGAGAGTCCTCGACACATTTCTCCCACAGTTAACAGCAGATGTATCACCAGTTTCTGCCTGTATAAACTAGACCTGCTGGGATGATTAAGCAGGTCATGCTCAGTAGGTTGGTGGGAGTGGGTACAGCTTGCTCTCCACACGGGTACCTGATCAGATGAGCTGAGGGACAGTGAGAGGCATAGTGGTGCTTTTAAAGTATTGGTTTTTATAGTTTTTGCTGCAGGGGAAATCTCAAGGCAGGAATTAAAAGACTGCCTTAGGACAAGGGTGTTTCAATACAGCTCTTCCTGGCACTCTCTGCTGTGGTTCTGCTGCAGCCAGGAACAATAATCTCACTTTAGCAAACCTGGCTAGTAATGAAATACCATTCCAATTTCCTTTTGTCCTCTGGCCACAGCACACCTGCAAGCCTGCTGCTTTTCTCCGTTAGTATAAAAAGTAATTTTCTTATACAAATGTCCAAATTCCAAACTGCTGATTACAAATACACACATAAAACCTTATCTCAGCCACATTGTGCCAACAGTGGCCATGGTTTGGTTCTTTCCAACATTCACAGTTCTAGTTACCTCTGCTGACCACAACAGCTTTTAATTTGGCAATGTTCATCATTCAAAAATTATTGTTGTTAACTTAAACAAGTAATGCCTAAATTTTTCAATGATTTTTTATTTTCTTCTTGTATTTCCAGTTTGCACCAGATTAGTTGCCTGGCTCCAGGGAATGCCCTCCTATATAAACCAGTAAAATTACCTATAATAAACATGTAAGCTCTAGGTTTCTACTGAAACTTCAGTCAAACTGACACCAAATCCTGGAGTCCCTTGTTAAATCCAGCTAGCTGGATTTTCTGAGGGTTTCAAATCTAACAGGAATGGAGGCATATTTATACTGTATCCACAGAAAAACTGCATTCTAAGCAGCAGGAAAAGAACACGCTGGCAGCTAATACTGTCCCACTTCAGTACTCTTGGCACTTTGCATGGAAAGGATGGCTCTCTGCTTTCCTGTTCATGTGCTGAAATCTTCCAGACACATTGCTCCCCACAACCCAAAGCTGACCTTTCTGGGAACGCATTCTGTGAATACACTGGGTATGTGCTGGACCTCGAACTGACAGATTTCCAGGCATCCTTGATTAAAGCTGGACAGGAACTTTTCAGAAAAGCCATTCTTGGGTATTTTTATCAGGAGTTGTTGACTTGTGAAACCAGACAACTTTCTGTAGCAGTGTACATACCAAGTATGACTGGAAGGATTTCTTGGGCCTGCATATTTCTCGACAGAAAGAATCGTCTGAACAAAACTGTTACTCATCCAGCAATCAGGAAACAACAGGAACTGTGTTTCAAGTCTTCATTGCCTGCATTGCTCCTGACAAGTGTTATTTACTGTCCTATAAGAGGCTGGTCTCTCTCATTCAATACAAGTTCGTATCTTGCTTGGGGTTTGCTTACGTTTTTTTCCTGGTAAAAAGGAGTTTTAGCATTTTTATCGCAGTCTCTGACCTGCTGCAGACCTACCTGTCCAGCTACCCATGATTTGAATGAGAGATGCCTCCTCCAAAATTCCACAAAAAACAATCACACTAGAGCAGTAATGCCATGCACACAACTCTTTGCAGTTGAGGAGGCTCCCTCAGCTGGTGCCTGCAGGAAGCATCCTAACCCCTCCAGAGGGTTATGTAAAAGCTTCAACACCTTCTGATCAAAGGTGAGAACTGGGCAACCCTGTTCAGTGCATATTTTCTACCTCTACTTTCCATTGAATTTCCTGGTTTCTTTAGTGGAGATCAGCTGCTCGGTTATGTCCAAATATGAATGCTGATTTACATAATCCTAAGTGAGAAGGAAATTCAGAGTGCTGTCTCAGAAACTGAACTGCCCTTCCTGCACATCTTGCCTGTGAGCAGTACTTACGTAACAAATAGCAGCTAGCTCCTGACGCAGGGTACTCGCCTCCAGACTTGATGTTGTTTTCATTGGATTTACTCCATTGTCATAAACTGTAAACTTAGTTCCCATAAGATTTGATCTATCAAAAAAATGGAAAATCCGATCACCATTTGCCAGTAATGCTGCCCGAGACATCTATCCTTTACTGCACTGTAGCCCCAAAGGAAAGAGAAGTATTGAGTACAGAGAGCTGTTATTTCTCATCCCAGATAAACAGCAACTCTCCTGGATTAAAGGCCATAACAAAAAGATAAAGGTACAGTACAGCAGAGTATACTAAAAGTCCCTTATCGTTACACTGGAGGTTTCTCATGACATCTTGCAAATTAGTAAATTCAAGAAAGCAGTAAGGAAACGCTCAGCGGGGTTATTTTGTTTGCTTGTGTTTTTACAGTATGCTTACTCTGTACAAAACTATCTGCTTTCTTACCTGACTACTAAACTGCATTAGAATATAGGGAGCGATTTTTATGAAGTCAGAAATAATCTTTCCTATTTCAATGGAAAGGAGTGCAAAATACAATATAGGACATACAAAACCATTCTGTGTCTGCACTGCAATAAATAGCCTGTGAAGTTCCAAGATCCCCACAGGCAAATGGCAACCAGCAGCACAGGCCCTTTCCTCAGGCAAAGATGATATAAACATACATCAAGAGGCTCCAGGTATCAACAACAAACTGGTGTACAAGAGGGTGACAGACAGGAAAGAAACACATCCTTCTGAAATAATTCCGCTACCTGCAAATAACTGATTTGGATCTTAAGGACCAGGCAAAACTGAAGAGATTTTCTGTGTAACAGACAGTACTTGCATTCCAAGGTATTTATATCAGTAGAGGCTAGACACAATGTACTCATGCACTTCTGAAAATCCCATTAAGATAAGTTGTGCTTGTACACCCTTGAGAATCTGGCCTTTGAGCATTTAAGAGCTTCAGTCCTGATGACTTTTAATAAAATGTGATCCTGTAAGTACTTGAGACATTTTGAAAACATGCCTCAGATACTGGTGATCTTTAGGACCTTTATCACATGATGTATGTAGTCAAGCTTCTAATGAAGAAGTCATTAGTGGCTTACAGGCTTCTTAATATCAAATGAACTTTGTATTATGTAACGAAAATTCTTAGACTTAGCACTGTTTACCTCAGTTTTCCAATAAAACTCTCTCCACCCCGAGACAGGTCAGTTGGGTCTATAGAGATGAGGTAATTAGAGGTTTTACTCTTCTTTCGTTTCCTTCCAGCTAACAGAAACACCTAAGCAATGCAAAAAAACATATTCCAGAATGCTAAAGGGATTAGCACACACCACTTCCTGCTCTGATATATAATAAACCATAGGCAATTTTTCTGTCTTCCAACATCATCAGCAAAGTAACAGAAGGTCTCCTGACAGAGGGTCTCCTGGGACTTAGCAAAACCAGGGGAAAAAAAAAACTAGAAAGGGAAAATGACTTCTATTATTTATGGTTTAAATAATTAAATTTGATCTAATTTGTTAAATGTTTCATTCTAAGTTGCTCCAACTCTTCCAGTTGAATTGAAAGTAGATGCTTTTCATGCCACGGAATGCAGAGAGCCCCAACTGCTGACAGTCACATAAAGGTGCCATGCATGGATTACTTAAGGCCAAAGATTAGACATATGAAGAAAGGCAGTGGATCAAAGTGATACTGTTGTTTTGCTTTTGGAAGACTGTAGGACAGATCTCAGTGAATGTGGAAATACATTTAAAATATAAGATTACACTTTCTTTATAAGACTTCTTCAGATTTTTATCATTTTTTTTAAATTCAGATGCAACTGGTATGCCATTCAAGTTATTTTATGACCTTTTTACCATGCTCCCTTTCCAAGTGGAGGTAATAAGTAGGGTACATCCCTCGGTCCATTCCCTTCTTGTCTCTTGTGATTCTGCATTTGACAGTGGCACCCTGTGGAGCAGGTCTTATGGCGAATTCCTCCAGGTCATCGACATCTATGAGAGGCTCATTTGTGGAAGGACTGGGGGCTGAGGCCGCTTCCTAAAACAACAAGCAAAATTCAAGTTTCTCAATTTTGATTTACAAGGTTATAAGTACAAAGGAATGGCATTTGATAGCAGTTGCACTTTTTAAAAAAACCACCAAAATAAGGGGCATATTGTCTTCCCCATTCTGGTTCCTCAGCAGCCTTGAGGCAGCTTGTCAAGGTAAGGATCTCTTCCAACCCAATCAGTCAACCTCTTGCCTACCAGAGGCCCAGGGAGCAGCTGCCTGTGCAGCTGATGCTCAGTGTACAGACAGAGCTGGCAAAGCAGAATGGTGTGACTGCACAGACAGAAAGCTGTGCAGTTACACAGCAAAGCCTGGCTCACACCTTCCCATCTCACCGCACCCCTTTTCCCAGAAAGGCCATACTCAAGGACAGTGATGGCCTTTGATGAAAGGAAGAAATGGGAGAGGGAGCAACAGTTTAAGCTAGATGGAGATATAACAAAGATGAGAAGTCAGTGCAGTATATAAAAGAGTGGGGCACCATCAACTGGTTTAGCAAGAGCTTGTGATTTAGATTGTTTGAACAATCCAAAGTATTATTTTATGTTCAGATGTGGCAGTGAGAACAGGGTGGGAAAATGCCCAGGAAAAGTCAATGGCAACAAAAGATCCTTCTGAGCACCTGCAAGAGGTAGAAAGGTAAATATTTACTGTTTACCTTTCTCTTCATTCAAGTTCAGACAATATTTGCTATTCTTCTCTCCAAGTCATTGTTTTCATTGCTTGCTCCTGTGAACCCTGAGAGCTATCACTGTAAATCACCTTGGAGATACTCCAGTGCATATTAAAAACAGAACAAGAAAGCCAGGCCTATCCTGACTGCACTCTGAAATCATGCAGCACTTAGCACCCTGCATGCCCCTTCTTCAGAACTCCCCCCTTACCTTGTTGGATTTCTTGCTCGTGGCAGAACCAGGCCGGGTGTTACTGTTTAACTGTGAAGAACTGGAGCTGTCTTCATCTTCCTCATCTTCTTCCTCATCAAAATTCATGCTACTTGAAATGCCTGAGGAGAAAGCAGCACACCTGTATGAAATACTAACACATTAAAGCCGTCCATATTTGCTGTACAACATCACTTACCATACTGCTACACCTTTAGGCTCACAGGTGAGTGTGGGAGGGTGTGTGGGAGGGAGGTTCACAGTGCGTGGCAGTGTGTGAACACATGGCATCTGCCCTGAGAGGCCAAATATTCCAGTAAAAGAGAAAGGAAACATCATGGTTTCCATTTCAAAGAGAAGATCAAGTTACCCAGGGATAGAGGAGCAAATACACAGTTAGGAATTAAATTCATAGCATCTTCATCCAATCAAGTACTTCAAACGCAACACAAAATCTCAAACTTGAAATTGGAGCTGAGAGAGCATTAGACCTGGCAGAGCCACTTGGAGACTTTAATAATTAAAATACGAGCCCTTTTAAAGCACACTTTCAACAGCTCCTATGTGATCTGCTCAAGAGTAGATCTTAGACTGAGGAGAAATATTCACATCAAGGAAACGTTCTCAAGCATCTTCATGTCATGTAAAGAATAGTATCAGCCCAAGCCAACAGAACTGCCTTACAGCACTTGAAAATTTGAGTTTACAAGAATTCGAATCCTCAGACATTTCAAAGGGAAACACAACTTTGAACATCAAATAGGTCTTAGCAGCAAAAAGCATCAATGGTGGGACATTTGCTGGGCCTAGTTGTTGAAGGAGTATCATGCAAATGAAGCCACCCCAGATTCAAGTTTAAACACTTTAAATTCCACATATTAGAGGCTATATTTTATCTTTATAAAAAAAACAAAAAAACACCCCACTTGGTTCAAAATTCCCATTATTTGTAAGTCCAATGCAGAAGGATAAACGAAATGCAGATTTCCTGAGCCAAGCAGCATAGGCAGAACTAACTTTTTCCTTCTGTACTTACCAGGAACATGATCCAGGGCGACAAGACTGGATTGGGAGGTGGAAGAGGACCAGGATGGATTTGCATGGGGATCTGAGAAAGGAAAAAATCCAAGGGTTTGATTCTGCAAACCCTTAATTGAGTGAACAAGCGTAACTTGGCAGGAGGACTCCGCAAAGGGCTAAGGGCTTACAGGATGGGGCCATAATGCTGCCACTTGAATTTGCAATTATGGACATTTTATCTTTCTGCACTGCACAATCAAATTCACCTTCTACCTGCTTATACCTCCTGTCATCTCATCCACACTCAAGAGTTGTGCCACAAACCCTCCTGTGTGTGATGCAGCACTGCATGGCAGGGGCTTGGCCTACTCCTGAATTCTAACAAAAAAACCGAACACCTCAAATCTGATTGACATAAGTGATACACATGGACTCTACAAAAATACTCATTCGGTAACATTGAAAGAAGTATTCAGAGTCATAATCAGACAGCCTAAATTCTACCTCAATCCCTATGCCTAGTGTGTCCACATCACTGAAAGATGAAATCAGGCTCTCTAAATTGTTTTTCTGGGAGTTCCAGGGAAACGCATAAAGATTTTCATATAGCTTAGTCTTTTGGAACACAAATTTGGTCTGCAAAAAGCAGAGACCAAACCAATGCACAGAAATATAAACAGTAGATATAGACTCAATAACTGTTTTCTTCAGTGCAAATTTTGGAACAGATGGGAAAAAAAAAAGACATTTAAAACAGTTTCTGATGCCAGATTGCACACTGGATAGTGAAACACCACCAGAGCAGTAAGCGTGAGGGTATAAAAGTAAAGCAGAAGAGTATGCAATGCTTGCATTCCGTTCAGCTTCATCATGAAAGGTCTCATTATCCACTTTTTCAATTCCCCCAGCGTGCACATACACCACAGAGCACAACAGCAAAAAGTTTCAATAGGATCTGGTTATGCAAGGGAGGCCTGAGTTCACAGGTCAACAGATATTTTCAAAGCCTGTAGAACTCACTCATTATTAATCACACAGTCATTAATCACAAGCATTATTTCTTAATAATGGCGACCATGTTCTAGGCTCTACGCATGGGTAATAGAGACCGTCCATCTCCTCAGCTGGCAGCTGTGCAATAAAGCCATACTTCACATCCACAGACGTAATCAGTTGATTTCTACACCTGTGCTCACTATTTCACCATCAATATTTTAGTGGTGAAAATTCTGTGCCAGCCTTAGAAAAGTCTGCCCTCACGGCTTGTGGGGAAGAATGCTTCAGAGAGCTCCTGTTTTGGTTTTGAAAAACCAAAGAGAAACCAAATCTATTCCTCCCCAAATCTCAAAACAATTGTAACTTCAGGTGCCAAAGGAGAACTATGATGAAATTGCTCATTCCATATCTCTACAGAGACATATTGCAAACTGATAAATGTGAGGACTCCATGCTAGTTATTCAGTGTTAAAACTTATGGAAGTCTGGCTCTGTCCTAGTGACTCATTTGCCAGGGAGGAACTCTACAGATTAACACTTCGGAAATTAAAAGGATGAATATTTCCTGAAGGAAGAAAATTATTCTACTATAGCAATTTCCAACAGATGGAGAAATCAAATACAGCATTTGGCATTTTCTTGCAAGTGGCTTATTCTTTTCACACTCAGTAGCCTATAACCTCTTGTCTCATGACAGAACTTGACTCATTGGGGAAGCAGAGACATGTGCTAAGAGAAGTTTCTCTCCACCAAGTTAGTGCCAAAGAGCAGAACAAACATAAACCAGGGTTACACAAATCTGACGGGACTCGGCCTTTCCCATTAGGCTGGTGAGCATTTCATAGGATCATAGAATATGACGACTTGGAAGGGACTCATCAGGATCATCGAGTCCAGTTCCTGGTCCTCTGCAGGACACCCCAAGAATCATACCACGTGCTTGAGAGCATTCTCCAAATGTTTCTTGAACTCAGACAGGCCTGGTACTGTGACCACTTCCTCGGGGAGCCTGTTCCAGTGCCCAACCACCCTCTGGTCGAAAAACTTTCTCCTGATATCCAGCCTAAACCTCCCCTGACTCAGGTTCATGCCATTACCCCGTGTCTTGTCACTGGTCATGTGAGCGAAGAGATCAGCACTTGTCCCTCCTCTTCCCCTCATGAGGATGTTGAAGACCTCAGTGAGGTCTCCCCTCAGTCTCCTCTTCTCCAGGCTGAACAGACCAAGTGACCTCAGCCCCTCCTCACACAGCTTCTCCTTTGCATGCTCTCTAACAGCTTAATGTCTTTTTTATACTGTGGTGCCCAAAACTGCCCCAATGCAGAGCAGAGCAGGACAATCCCTTCCTCGACCAGCTGGCGATGCTTTGCCTAATGCCCCCCAGGACGTGGTTGGCCCTCCTGTCTGCCAGGGCACTGCTGCCTCACATTAAACTTACTGTCAACCAGGACTAGATCCCTTTCTACTTTATCTCTGTGCTCTTCTTTTGTTGCCATTCCATGCAAGAGAAAGACTTAGGAAGACAGCAATTCTAAACACTTTTCAGACCAATGGTGACCTGCCAGTAAGGACATGCCACAAGCAGTGAAGTGGCAGCTGGAATCCACATGAAGAGCCCTATCTCTACAGTGTCGCATCAATACTGGGATACACAAAACTTTCTAACAAGCCTCCTCTGCTGGTATCAAGCAGCAAACCATACACACACACATAGTCAAAATATTTTACTGAGATGCTGCTTAATACCTTTCTTTGTGCCTCATCCAGCATAGCTCTGCTGTTAATAAAAATTAATAAACCTCAGTATTCCCATTTTAAAAAAGTGCTCCCCCCCCCTACCCAGCTTGAAGCATGCTAGTGATTCACTTTTAGCAGTGCCTGTTCTGACCAGGAGTATACTCAGACTTGGTAAAAAAGGTCATATCATGTATTCGAGAATATAAAGAAACAAAGCAAAACAAACAAAAAAAATTCCACTCACTGCTTCTATTAAAAAATAAACAAAAATTTGGGGAGAATAAAAATACATGTTAACCTGGAAAAACTCATCAAAACTAGAAGTATTACCCCAGAGTAAAAATCTGAAGGCTGTGACCTAATTTGAGAAGTCTGTGGGTAGTTTTTAAGTCAATCAGCTTTAGTTAGTAGTGTGCCTCACGATTAAATATTCTGAGCCACGGTCTAAGGCAACACAATCACCACACAGATCAGAACTTGTTAGTCATGCCCAACACCCCTGCAACTCAAATGCCCAGGAAATACCACACTTGGAGAAAATCTGCCCATTTCAGTTGAAGCTACTCACATCTGCAGGGTAACGTCCCAGAAAAAATGAATCCTAGTGAGAACTGCTCTGCAGACAAGAGGCAGCATTTAGGTATGAATAGTCTATTCTACACGAGTCGAGTTTGCACTTACATTTTGCTCTTTATACACAAAGAGTTTGTTCTTAAAGCATCAGAGCGCTCTTGGCTTGAGCCATCTTTGCTTCAAAAGCTGTACACTGAAGAAGAACAACTCCAAAGCAAATGTCTTCAGAAAAAGCTTTGTGAGGATTTCAGGATTCTTTTTTTTTTTTTTCCTTCCTACAGTTAATGTCTAATGAGAGATTACAACAGTGCAGGAAGGAAGAGACAGATGCATGAATGTGTACATACACAATCTATCTCCAAAGCATACATGCCTCTAGAATAAAAAAAGAATTCCAGAACATTTGAGGACTCTGTGTGGGAAATGCTGCAGAATACACAGTGCTGTACTTTTCACCTCTGCAATTAGGAACACACATAATGAAAACGTGAACAACGTGTAACTGACACCACAACTAAAATTAATATCCTCGTTCTAATGTTGCTATTCCCTGCTCTTTTTTTAGCCATCAAATAAGTGATTTCCAGAGTTGTACAATATAAAACTGTGAGCAGATGCATGTAAGCATTAGCATCTGCCAGGTACCTCAGTAGCGGCACTGCACTGCAGATGGGGAAGTCACATCCCTGAGAGCCTGCAGAGCTCTTGTTCCTTGGGACAGCAGAGACCTTCATAATTTTTTTTTTTTTAGGTTTGGTTTTGGTTGGGGTTTTTCAGATAATGGAATAGAGCCTAACAGGCTCTGAGGAGAAGAAACACAGACAAACTCTGCTTAGGCCAGGGCTGAGAATGAGAATGTGAAAAGGAGTCAACGTACATCAAGCAAGCAGTGAGAACATGAAGGAAGCTTTGGCTACTTACCTTTTTTCTGCATTGCTGTTCTAAGATCTTGTTTGCTTTGCTGTTGTTGACCACTAGCCACTTTCTCTCCATCATCTTCATCATGGCTGGACTGTCCAACAGTGAGAATTTGCACTTGACTTCCTATCTTCTGAACATCATCTTGAAAAGCAGCTGGGCCATCAATCCCTGTCAGACAGCAGCAAAAGCCTTAGTTGTCTTTCTGTCAAGAAGGTACTGAAAAGAGAATTGCTCACTTGCAAAAAAAGCACCTTTTACAGGAATCAGATATCAGATGTAACCATTCAATAATATTTCCAGACTTAAAACATAACTAAACTAGCCTCCGAGGCAAACATTTCCCACATGATACACTAGAGAATCTCCAAGAGAGGATTAGGATTTCACTGTTGCTCTCCTCACCCCAAAGCACACCTATCCATGCACCAGGAACACTGAAAACCTTTAAAGAGAAAAGAAATCACTGGAGAAAACTGACAAAGAAAACATTAAACTTTCATAAGGACACACAACTGGTCCAGAAACACATGATCTCCAGTCCCAGATTATGCCATATCCCCTAATAAACAACACTGCTATCATGAAACAATGCTTTAAAGTTTCAAAACACTGGAAAATTCACAAATGGATCTAGCAGTGTATACAGGACAGAGGCAGCCAGTCTTGCCTAACCCTAAATACACCTTCTGAGTTAGTAAATTGCCATACAGTTAATACATCAGAGCAAAACTACAAAGAAGATTTTACATATTCCCTGGAACCTCCTTCCACTGAGATTCTTAAATCCTGACCGGGCTCAGTCCTGGGCAATCTGCTGTGAGCAGGCACATGGGACTGGACAGTCCCCAGAGGCACCTTCCAGCCTCAGCCATGCTGTGATCCTGTGGCTTCTCACCACAGCCAGAAAGAAACTATTTACCTCCTTACAGCTGTAAATCACCTCTGAAGACAGAAAAAGAAAATACAAGGTGGGGTGTGTTCTTATCACAAGCCAACTTCTTTTTTTTTCCTTCAGGACAGCAAGTTAAAACACTGGATTGCAAATGTCCTTCCTTAGTTAAGATGTAGTGCTGGAATACGTTACTAAATTAGCTATATAAAAATGCACTTTTGCATTGATAAAAATTATTATGTACAGATATAGTAAATAGCATAAACTGTACACTGTTGCTGTTGAGAAATTTTTATTAATAAGAAAGCAACATTGTAGAGAATTTGCAAGCACTACAAAGAGCTAGTTCAGTAAAGAATATGGTGCTTCTCACATCAAACAAAGTTGAATAAATCCTGTGAGAAGGAACTGCAGGGATTGGGATTTTTTTCGGACTGCGATCTGCAGCAGAAGTCTCCGAGAATACCATTTCATCCTGCTTTGCCAGCAGCTGTCAACTTGCATTAAAAGACAACTGGATCATACATTTAGCATGCTTAACTGTACTTTGCAATATCTGCTGTCACTGCCACTGCGAGACAAAGCATAAGTGGAAAAGAAAGTGGTCCACACCCTCAGGAACAGCACTGGCTGTGCAACTCCCTTACAAGATGCAGCCCGACACTGCAGAAGTGTTAAACTGACAAGAGTTCAAGACCACAAGGAATTATTGATTCATCTCCATCACACAGACCCTGGCAATTTCTGCACCAACCCTGCAAATTCTGATTTACTTACAGCTAAGCTAACAACAACAACTAACAACAAATAAATAATCTGTCCATCCAACCTTGAAGGACTAAATAAAGTTCATGGAAATGTCTCTGTGACCTTGCTAGGATGAAAATTTCAGAAGCAGCTCTGCATGATGCAGAATGAACAGTACCATTTCCTATGCTTTAGGTATAATATGACAGTGAAGAGAATAGCATTTTTATTAAAAGTTATCTCAGAATAAGCACTCCTGCAAAGGTGCTCTAGAACAAACAGGCAGCTGCTCAGATCCTCTGTGGTATTTTTAACAGCTTCAACAATATTAACCACTATCATTAAAGTGGCTACCTAAAGTTAGGTTCTTACCTTAATAATCGGAATTTCAAAAGTGTTAAGCATCCGTGAGTTTAACATGATGCCTCATGAGTATCTTTCTAGCCCCTTATTAAGCCTTGGATGACATGAACCTAATTTTGAGTACCCTTTTCAGAAGGAACAAAACACCTTAATTATTCCTCTTCAAAGCAGACATTGATCTGCAGCAAACAAAATGCCTTCGACAGCACCAGAGATTGCACTGAGGCTGCTTTTTTTCAGATGCCTGCAGAACATCTGCGCTCACATCTCATGCTGTCAGGAACATCGTGTATTATTAGGCCTTAGGACAAAGGCTACGCTGGCAGGTCACACTTTTGGAGAAGAAAAATCAATTCCAGTATTCTGAAGAGTGCATCGCTGGTAGAGTGTGTTATTAAACTTTATGAATAGTTCCACTGGTGAGCACATTTAACGGGATGAAATATGTAGCCAGACAGAGAGGATTAAAGACAAAAAAAAGAACCTCTGTTGCATGAGAACACTGTAGATGGTTCATGGCAAATGTAGCATTAACTATTAATATTTGTGTGTGTGCATACATCTTTGCACACACATATTTTTGTAGCTATACATGCACATGTTAAAATGCAAGCATACATATACATTTTTCTACACCATGAGATATAAGCTCATCTTCCTAAGTCATAGTTCAAAAGGCAGTTTTACCATCACCTACCTAATGTCTGAAAACACTTCCAAGCTTCTGTAATCATGACAATCAAGGTGGATCTCTCATGGCGTTCTCACTTTCTTTGCCTCACGGACTCCTTTTCACCCACTTACCACAAGGATCCTTCACTGTGCAGTAACACAAACCAGCTCTCTAGTTATATGTTCCCTGAGTTTAAGGACACAGTTAAAAGAGGCAAAGAAGCTGAGTGGGTTGTGCCAAAAGAAAAAGTAATTATTGCTATGATCAGTATTTTTATAGAGTTTCCCAAAAACCAGGTAGGAAAAAACTCTGATAGAGATGTCCTTGAATACCCGCTAAGAAATAAAGGGAATTATTGAGAGGTAATCATGAAGGAGGGCAGAGATGAAAGTAGAAGATTAAAACAGCCCTCAGAATACCAGTCCCCTCAGTAAAGGCCTTCTGGTACCCTTTGACATGGTCACGTCTCAGAAGAAAACCAGGAGGTTCCAGAAATGAAAAAAAGCAATACTGAAAAAAAAAAAAAAAGCATCAATAAATGAGTGTTACTGGCATTTACATCCTATAAACTGCTATTTATCAATGCCTGTACTCTCTTAGCATGTAAAAGCTTCTAGACAATATTTAAAAATTGGCAGTACCCATCTCTTAAAAGCTGGTAATCTAAACTACCACATAGAATGTTTTTATAAACTGAAATCACCTAAATTCTAAGAAATTCAAAACACATTAGATAGACATGCACTTAACTTGGATCTTGGGTATGGGATATTTAGATAGGATTTTTTTTTTCTTTTGCTTTAAACACCTAAAATGTTAACTACCTAAAAGGGAAAAAAAAAAATCACAAGATACAGGTCTGGAATGAGGGGAGAAAGAAAAAGGTATGGAAAAAATAAATAAGGGAACTGCCATTGAAAACCTTGGGAAAGAAATAAAGTAGCAAAATTTTGCTTTATGTTCATGATGTATGAGAAACAACTTTGAGTCTTCATGCATTTTATAGTACCACATTATGCCTGTTTGAAACTTCAGCTTCTAAAGGATGGACCAACAAACTAAAATCCATTCAGTTCCACTGGACTTAGTAAAGGCAATGCGTGCTGAGGAAATGAAGCTAAGACCTTATTTAATTGTTCCAATCCAGCACTTAAAAGAATCTTTTTATGGGAAGGTCACCAGGCATGCATTTCTCTGTTCTATATCCACAGCAGATTCCTGCTGAACCGTTTCCAACCATTTTGATATGTCCTATAGATAAATGCTAAAATTAATATAGATGAGCCATCACAGTTCTACTAGATGGAGTTATCAAATTCCATCTGACAAATTGAGCAAGTATAGACCATGTGGGATGGAGGCTATAGATCCTGGAGTATATCCCTTCTCCTCGTCCCTACAGATCCAGAAGTCATTAAAATAGCATACTAGCACTAGTAGAGCACTACAAGTACAATTCTGGGTACCCCTTTGAGCCTCATGCATTTTTATTTCAGCCTCAGAGTCTTCAAAGTTATTTTTTGGAAAAGAAATACACTTTTAAGCGTATGTGCAAGTCAAAACCTGAGGGTATAGTCACACTGAACACAAGGCTTGGATCAATCCATTGAGAAGTCCTGTCTAAACCCGGAATCTGTAACAGAATAGGTCTGAGTGGAATTTCCGCTCAAACCAGACAGAAATTGAGCATTTCTAGACATCTTATCAGAAAAATTCTCAAAGTCATCACAGTCTAATGACACTGTAATATTATAGAAGAATAAGAGAATGTAAGAGGACAGGCCAGAAACACAATTTTGGTTATTTCATTGCTCAAAAGATAATTAAGAAAAAGTATTTAAAATTGTTAGGGGGCAGAGGGGTAGGAGGAGAAAGTCAAACAGGAGGAAATTACTACAAACAACCAAGCTATGTGTGAGCAAGGAAAGTTCAGCTGATTTGTGTGGCCATGACTTACAGATAAGCATGAGATCAAGTATGAGGAAGATTTTGTGATCTGACAACAGTGCACAGTGCACAATGGTAGTCTTGAAAAATTTCTTACAGATGAAATATGTGACAACCTACCCAGCAGCAAATTACAGCTGTAAGCACAGGGAGCCAGCTCTCCAAAACATTATTAAAATATTCGACTATATACTACATGAATCTCCAGAAACTGGATCTTTCAGGAAAAGAATCTAATTGTATATTTATAAACACCATGTTCCTCTCTGCACGTATTTATACATGCAAACATTTTGCTGTGAAAGTATTTTCAGCAAATGTTATTTCCTCTAGGTACTTTTATATGAACTTATAAATCCAGGAAAGAATGATTAACGGATTATTTGAGCCTTAGAACCCCAGGAAAATACAGATTTCTTATTTATTTGAAAATAACCCCTTTAATAAATTAAGAATTTCTTTATAGGATATTTGCAAACTAAAAAAAGAAACTAAAAAGAAAAGTATGGTAAATCAGAGAGAAGTAATTGAGCTCAGTGACTGAAA